TAATAAAAAATTTCCTCTTAGGTTCAGCAACAGTTTTTCTTTGTTAAATTAGAAATACCAACTTTTTATTTATAGATCCAGGTTCCACTTACTTACCAAGTCTTTCCACATCAAATACTCTTTGAATAAATTTTAAAAAATCTTAGAAAAGCACAAAAGGAATACTTCAAAGTTAAGAAACTTTAAATCGACTGAGAAGGATAGCTTTTGAGTCCTAGAAAAAGAAATAATATTGTCCTTTGACTGTTTTTAAGCTTGGCCCCTGAAAATGCTTATTATTGGTTGTGGGAACTGGAGCTGACTGGCTGGCTTAGCATTCTAAAACAAATTCTAGACAAGTAGTTTGCAATGGATTGGTGGTGGCATATTCCCAAATAAAGAGCAATGCAATTTTTTTTTTTTTTTTTTGACCACACCTCTCAGCTTGCGGGATCTTAGTTTCCCGACCAAGGATTGACCCAGACCCTTTGCAGTGAGAGCTCGGAGTCCTAACCACTGGACCGCCAGGGAATTCCCAAGAGCAATGCATTTAATCTGAAACAGAGCAAACGCTTGAGTTGGCTGCCTACTTGCCCTCCATACCTGGTGTTGAATGTGATTTATACGATCCAGCAGGTCATTCAGTTTTACATCCTGCTCAGCCACTGTCTTCTGAAGCTGCCTCTTTTCCTTCTCTGAAATTTCAAGCTTTCTCGAGAACTCAGATAATTCTGATGTCAGCTCCTCTATCCGTCTCCTAAAGCAAAATGGCAAAAACATGTGGATGGACTTCAGGGTCCATGTCGGTGGACTGTGGGCTGGCTGCCCGGGGCTTGCTACCCAACTCCTGGGCAGCAGCCCACAGGGTCCCAACTGGCTTACGAGGGACAGAGACTCTGTCTGGAGGGGAACCTGTGGTACCTGCTGGGTGCGAGTTCCTCCTCAGCCATTAGGGAATCCTTCTGCAGCTTCTGAAGTTCTCTCCGGAGCTCCTGGATGGTCTCTGCCTTCTGCTTCTCCAGGCAAATGCAGCTTTGCAGTTTCCTATGGCAATCCTCCAGGTTACCCTTTGCCAGAATGGCCTCTTCTTTATACTGGGCTGCTTGCTGAGCTGCAGAAGACAGGAGACAACCCAGGGCATGTCCATGTGTGAAGGGAGTATGTGTGAAGATAGGACTCTCAAATGAGACCAGTTAAAAAGTCTGTTCCTTGGGGCTTCCCTGGTGGTGCAGTGGTTAAGAATCTGCCTGCCAATGTAGGGGACACGGGTTTGATCCCTGGTCTGGGAAGATCCCACATGCCATGGAGCAACTAAGCCCGTGTGCCACAACTACTGAGCCCGAGCTCTAGAGCCTGTGTGCCACAACTACTGAGCCCACGTGCCACAACTACTGAAGCCTGAGCACCTAGAGCCCATGCTCCACAAGAGAAACCACTGCAATGAGAAGCCTGCGCACCACAACGAAGAGAAGCCCCCGCTCGCTGCAACCAGAGAAAGCCTGTGTGAAGCAACGAAGACCCAATGTAGCCAAAAAAAACAAAAGTCTGTTCCTTCATTCTGTGACTTACTTCAATTTCCAGTCTGTCCTCATCTCTCTCTATTTCATTATCACTCCTAAGGAGCTCTGATAAATTATCTGTCTTCAACTACCCACCAGCCGTGAACTCCTTCTTGACTAAAATTAAATCGGTCGAAATTGCTTGGTATCTCTTCTGTGACTCATCCTGTCATTGAAGACAAATCCTGACCCTCATGGAGTTTAGAGTCTAGTGAGGGAGCTGTAATTGGTTCACCTGACATAGAGAACGCAGTAATGTTAAACTCACACTGACTGTGAACTCAGGAAGGAAGCCCAAAGCGGGGAAGTAGAGTTGGAGATGGACTTATGGAGGAACAGAGGCTGAGCTGGGCCTAAGAAGAAGGAGAAGAAAGGGAATTCTCGGGGTGGGGGGCACAGTGAAGGGAATGGGGGGCATGTGGGAAGATGATGGGAAGATATCAGCTTAACTGGAAAGGAAAGTGGGAAGGAATGGTGAGAGACAGAATTGAGGAAGTGGATGGACTAGAGGGGGTTTTGGAGGACGTTGAAAGGCTGAGAGGAATGTTTAGACATGATTTAGTGGGTTCTTGAGTAGGGACCTGCCATAAAGGAAAGAGGGCTTTAGGAAAATTGGAATGGATTAGAATGGAGAAAGACTTCTGACAATATCCTTTTAGCCCACATCCTTGCCTCCACTGGGTATGAAGGAGTAAGTTGCTTACTGGGGTTTCTCTACACCAAATATCTCCCCACTTCCTGTAGTTCCTCCTATCATTTCTATTTAAATATCACTTTTCTCTCCGTTTTTTTAAGCCTGGGATACTGGAAGAAAGATGGTGTCACTACGGAAATAATTATACACCCGGAAGAAGGGAGGAGGATTTTTTTTAATAGGGAAGAGAGTAGGTTCAGCTTTGGGAATGTTGGGTTAGTGGGGAAGGTGGGTTGGTCAGGTGGAGCTAGTCTCTAAAGACAAGACTGACCAGGTGCCAAGTCAGGGCTAGGGCTCTAGGCATTGGAGTCACCTGCAGAGAAATGCAGCTACAAGGAGCAGAGGCACACATCAAGGAATGAGTGTAGAGAGGAGAGGGCAGAATCTTAGAGATGGGTGACCACTGTCAGGGCAGGAGGGAAAAGAGGAAACAATGGTGAGATTTATGGAAGAACAAGGGACCTGTTGTGTCTCCAAAGCTAATAAACAACCGTTGAGGTGTGGGGGACCAACAGTGTGGACACCCAGAGAGTTAGAGGAGGGTGAGGAAGGAAGACGTGCTTTGGACCTTTTTTTTCCCAAATTGATACATCACTCCATAACATAAAATTTATCCTTTTAAAGTGTACAGTACAGTGGTTTCCAGTAGACTCACAAAGTTGTGCAACCATCAACATCTAATTCCAGGACATTTTAATCACTCAAAGGCAATCCCATTTTCAAGGCAAGAAGTTACTGGTGACTTCTGAGAAAGCGCTTTTGGCAGAGGAGCAAGGACACAACCCACACTGCAAGCGAATGTGTGTGGAGACCAAAAAAGGAGCGTGTTAAAAACCAGGGAAGGAAGAAATGAATGGTGTGACAAAGGTCCCAGAGAAGGTGGAGAGGAATGTGGTGCAAAGAAGCGAGGTACAGAGCCCTGTGCTCTCCGTGGTGAGGAAAGGAGAGGACCTTCAGCTGAGGCTGCAGAGAAAACGGTGGGCGTGTGAGAGCAGCGGTCCGCCTTCCCAACCCGAGCACCTGCTGTGTGATGGGGGCTTCAGAGAAAAGGTAAGGTTGGGGTGAAGGAAGGAGCTTAGAGGGCGGTCCTAACTGCTGTGAGATGCGATGAGATCACGAGGAGATCGAGTGAGAAAGCGGTGACGGAGAGGGACACGGCCATTTGGGGAAAGGAGGGGGCTGCTCTGGCCCCGTGGGTTGGAGTGTGTGGGGATGGTGCTTTCCCGGGGGCCGCACCAGCCAGCCTGTGCTGCTGTTTGGCATCTTCGAGACAGTGCTTCAGCTTCTTGATCTCAGCTCCCAGGTGCCCATACTCGGCCTTGCACTTATCCTGTCTCTCCTCCTGGATGGCAATTTCGAGTTCACTTGTCATGCATTGCTGCTTCTCCAACTCCATCTCCTTTTTTACGAGGGTGTTCTTGACCTGTGCCAGGTCCTTCTCTAGCTCATGCAGCATCTCATCTTTCTCCTGGAGGAGCTGTGGGAAGCAAAGTGTTAATGCTGATAGAGGCCTGAGCAGCGGCAGGGCGAAGTCAGAGATTGTCTTGAGCCCTCTTCCAGCCACCATCTTCTCTTGCCTGGATGTTGCAATAGCCTCCACCTGGGCTCCCTGCCTCCCTGTAGCAGTCAGAGATGGGCTTTTACAAATGCGAGTCAGATCTTGTTATGTCTCTGTTCAAACCTCTACTGGGTCCATCTCACTTAGAAAAAGGCCAAAGTCCTTACAACGACGTCCCGGGATGCTCATGATCTGGTACTTGGCTACCTGTCTAACCTCACCTCTTGCCGCCCCACCCTCTCTGCTTCCGAGCTGACTTCCACCTGAGGGCACTTGCCCTTGATGTTGCCTCTGCCTGGAATATTCTTCAAGACTTTGGCCTGGGTGGCCCCCTTACTTCATTCAAATGTCTGCCCAAATGTCACCTTATCAAAGAGGACTTCCCCGACCACTCTGGGGAAAACAGCCACCAAGCTGTTTTAGGAATTCATTAGTACCTAACATTTTATTGTATATTAGTTTTATTTGTTTGTCTCTAAAGACTGGAATGTAAGCTCCATGAAAATAGGGATGGCACATGTTTTATTATATTCTTCATGCCTAGAAGAGTGCTTGGCATATAACAGGAGCTCAAAAATATCTGTTGAATGAATGTATGAGTGACTCGAAGCTGCTTATCCAGACTCCTTGCTGCTTCTTCAACATCTCTCCAAATACCTCCATTTCGACTCTGGTGAATCACCTCCAGACCTTGAAATAGGAAGTTTGAATGACCAGCCACTCAAATCAATTGGATTATTTCTACTAGCTCTGATCAAAGTTTAGAGTTGAAACAATACTGACTACAAAAACTTACACTGGTTTCAGAGTCTTTCTGCCCTTGGCTCCAGTCTTACGCTTTTCTAGGAGCTTGATTTACGTTGGTAACTACAGACCTTCTAGGGCATAGTTCCACTAACATTTTCAAACTGCCTGGTTTGCATATTTGTAAGTTATTTGTAATTAAAGAACTGAAATTCACATGAAATTGTGACTAAGGCTACACATTATTTTATAGCATTTCTTTCTACTCTTAGGCATAAACAAAAGCATAAGGGAATAATACGAGTGTGTCCCAAACTCACTATTGCAGGGCTGGGGAAGAACCCCTTTCTTACAGAGTTCACATCTCTATTAAGGCCCCTGATGTTTTATTTATTTATTACGTGCCATGAGAAATTCCAAGGAAGAGCTCAGAATTGCCCCTGGGCCTGAAGCACCGCAGTCTCACTGCGCATGTGTGGGTGCTCCCCAAGCAATCACAGCGAGTGCGGGGCCACAGAACCCGCCCCTGCCGAGGCCTGGCCTCGCAGGGCCCTGTTGGCAGTTTCAACCACGGAGCTCCTCGCCTTACCTTGTCTTTCTTCAAACCGAGATTCTGGGTCTCAGTGAACTGCACCTGCAGCTCCTGCAGTCGCCGTTGCAGGATGACGACCTCCTTGTCCTTCCTCTCCACGCGGGCAGATGTCTCTTCCCGCAGCCCGTGCAGGTCCAGCTCCAGCTTCAACATGTCTGCAGCGGGACAAGACAGAGTGCTTCTTGCTCAGAGCGGGGCTCCGGCTTCCTTGGCTCCCTAGCCTCTGCCGCAGCCCGCTGGCCCACGGTTTACCCTTCATGATGCTTTTCTTCTGTTCCGACACGGCTTCTAGTTCCATGCGCAAATCCTTCACGAGGTTCTGGTACTCCTCCACGTGCGAGCACTGGCTGTCTTTCTGCTCCTGCAGGTGCTTCAGTATCTGGGCAGATGGAAGAGCCGGGCAGGGTGAGGACATGGGGGAAGAAGGCTTTATAGAATTCTGAGTGTCCAGAACAGGCAAATCCGTAGGGACGAAAAGTAGAATAGTGGTTGCCAGGGTTTGGCGGAGGGAGGATGGGGGGGGGGGGGGTGACTGCTCGTGGATATGGGTTTCTTTTTGGAGTGATGAAAATGTTGTGGAATTAGTGGTGCTGTTGCCTAACTTTGTGAATACACTAAAAACCAATGATTGTACACTTTATTTTTATTTTATTTTTTTTAAACATCTTTATTGGAGTATAATTGCTTTACAATGTCGTGTTAGTTTTTGCTTCACAACAGAGTGAATCAGCTGTATGTATACATATATCCCTATATCCCCCCCTCTTGCGTCTCCCTCCCACCCCCCCATCCCACCCCTCTAGGTGGTCACAAAGCACTGAGCTGATCTCCCTGTGCATTGTGGCTGCTTCTCACTAGCTATCTGTTTTACGTTTGGTAGTGTATATATGTCCATGCCACTCCCTCAGTTCGTCCCAGCTTACCCTTCCCCCTCCCCATGTCCTCAAGTCCGTTCTGATTGTACACTTTAAATGGTGAGTTTTCTGGTATGTCAATTATATCTCAATTTAAAAAAGTAAAAGGAGAGTTAAAAAAGAAAGGACGTGGCAGACTTCTTCTCATGCTGACACGGAATGGAATGTGCACAAAAGGAGCCACCTCTTCCTCCCTGCAACACTCAGTGTCATTGATAAGGCACCTACTGTGTGCCAGGCACTGTGTGCAGCACTGTAGGTGCTGCAAACAACACAGACACCAATTCTTACCCCCAGGGAGCTGACTTTCTGGTGGGATGAGACAGACAAAAAGCGTAAAGTAGTGACTTACAGAAAACAGAAGTTGATATGTGTTATGGAAGAAACAGAACAGCAAAAGGGGAATGGAGATGTATGGGGCAGGCAGGGGCGAGGCTGTGGGTTACAGTTTTAAATAGGATAGATGCGTTGGCCTCACTGAGAAGGTGGCCTCTGAGCAGGCACTTGCTGGAGGTGAGGGCGTGAGCCATGCTGAGGTATCTGAGGGACGAGCTCTGCAGATGGGGGAGGGGGCAGTGCTAGCTGGTGACAAGGCCCTGGGGGGAGAACATGCAGGAGGCCATGTGGTTAGAGTGGAGTGAGTGATGGGGAGAGAAGGAGGAGGCGAGGAGGTGAGGAAGTTAGGGGGCGGTCACATCACAGAGGGCTCGTAGTCCCTCAGCAGG